TGACACGATCAACATAACGCATTGCACGCCGACCCTCAAAGTTGGAATGTGACCCTTGCCTGGCGGGGCTCGGAGCGCAGGCCCACAAAGGACAGAGAGGCCCCCAGGAAGGCCACCAGCAGGACCTCAGATCCGCATGCGCAGGAACAATGTCCTCGTGGTATCCTGGTGCTTGGCGCATAAGTCAAATATGGTCAAATAGCTCGTTCAAAACTTGATCATACAACATGCAAAGGTCCTAAGGTGGTCCCATACTGAATGGCTCCCAGTACTTTGGGTGCAGCACCCCTTGGCAACAGGGCAGAACTTAAGTTCAAAAAAAATAGCAAGACTGGCTTCACCAACTCCGATTCGGATGCCACACTGCCGAAGATTTTGAGACTGCGGCAGACAGCAGGCTGGACTTGGCCATGTTAGCGGAGGGGAGTTCCAGGATGTTCCACGGCTATGAGTTGAGATGCCAGGGCCTGAGCCTCAAAAACGCTGGCAGGGTTCGGGCAAACAGGCTAAAGTGACGCTCCTCACTTTCACGCACCACTCCCCAGGTCGCCAGAACAAAACCGGTCAGGTGCACGCATCATGCCACACCGTTCAATTCCCATTACCTGCATACTAAATACTTATAAGTACAACACAATACAATGACCTTGAATCAAACGTTTCTCCGTGCGTACAGCAGCAATGACATCTGATAACGTGAGCCCAGAAATTTCCCATACTCCAATCCTTCTCTAAGTGCACATAAGCAAACTAGCGGCTAGTAGGAAAGGCTGCAAACCTTGAGAGATGTATCTAGTCCAAACTGTGACCGGGGGAGGCCGGGCAAGCTTTACTCTGGTTCTGGGTGATACTGAGGCCACGCTATATCAAGACCAAACAACACACGCACATTTTCCGCGGAAAAGGCCTGCGATGCAAAGCATCTGCCTGAAGCCTTCTTTGGGAGAAAGGCGCGCTTTGAGCTAGCTAGCCTACCAAAAAGCCTCGATGACTCTGTGCTGCACCCGAACACACACGCGTAGATGCATCACGTTGTAGCAATGGATGTCTTGCAAACGCTGCAAACGCAGAATGTAATGCACCTGTGATATCATGCACGACATGCTGTAGAATGTGCACACATGTGCACACAACCTTGTCTTTGTTAAATGTGAAAGGCTGGAGGCTGTCCCTGTCATCATCTCATCTCACTTCGGCTCGTAGTACAGGTGGACCTCACAGCTACGTCCAAACATGATGAATGACAAATCCAAGTTACCCCAGCGCCCAAAGTCTTGTCCCAGAAGCAAGAACATGCAGCAAGGAACTTCGGCCTTGCTGCAGCCCAACCCTGGATGAAGGATTTGCACTACAAAAAAAGCCTCGTAGGTGAAGTCGATGAGGCCGTTGTCCCTCATCTTGCCCTGATGGCATGGGGCGCAATGGCTGGGACTGAAGGGATGACATCTGGCAAGCAACCACCTATGCCCAGCAAGCCAAGCAATGCCTGAGTGAATCCATTCAACTCTAAACCAAAGCCCTGATGGCAGCCTGCCCGGCCAAGCCAGCCATCAAACCCATTGAGTTCACAACAAATCCTGACCTTGAGGGGGCCGGCTTCCTCATCCTCAGAGTTGTAGATCCTTGTGCCGCAAGCACAGCTGCCGTAAGACGCCGTAAGAGTGCAAGCAGTCACCTAACTTTTAGAACTTAGCTAGAAATCTGGAGGGGAGTCCGGCTGCCAGCATTTGTTGTCTCGCAGTTGCCACCACCCTTGAGCCAAGGCGCTGGAAGTCGGAGTCTGGCATCCAGGCCTGGTCGAAGCCCAGCCTCTTGCGGCCCTCAGACAGCACCTTCAAAACGGATGCGTGTGAGGTATGGTAGGTTATATTAGCACAGGGTTCGCTAAACTGAGCACGCAGCTTGGACTTGAGTAATGCTGAATCCACACAAATCAAGCTCAGGCCTATGCGTCTGCGGGAAGCTATAGCAGTGTCGAACTCGAACATCCGTTTAGTTTAGAGCGCATGCCAAACCTCCTTTCTTAGCGGACTCCTCGAAAAGGTCCTCCCTCTAGGAGAATCGAACTCCGGGGGAAACGCTCCTTACTGTACTCCACGTCCTCTGCGATAGAGGCAAGCAAGTCAAGCGCGACAAAACTTTCTTCCTGGCGCTATACAAATCAAAACTGGGCGGCAGGGGGTGCTGGCGAAAAAATCTGTGATGTACGGCGCATCCCCCGGAGCAAAGTAGCCGGACATCCTGATCCATCCGTGGATTTTTGAACTCTTCGTTTGCAAGGAGCTCAAATGGTGCCGCTTGCGAAGAGCTACAGTCCTTCCACACCATAAGACCACTATGAGACCCAAAGAAAGCTGCAGCAAGGCTTACGCTTGATCATCCAAGATCTGAGCCCCCAAAGCATTGTTCACACAAAGCCCTGCAAGGAGACAGGGACATCCACCTCGGTGGCATCTGCGTCAGCCTGAGGCATTGGCTGTGGCGCTATGATCAGATTCTCATAGAATATGAGTTCTGCAGAGCATGATGCAGCTGTGACTATGCCGCCTTTTGGGCAACCCGATGCAGCAAGCTGATGTGAAAGCGTCGCTGGCGCCTTTCCCTGATAGCAATATCCGCAACGCAGAAAGAAGTTTGATCTGCTGACCATATAGCCGGTCATCACCACAAATGCTGACCACAGGAGACTGGCACATCTACAAGAACCGCCATCATGCGACAATCAAACTACAGCAACAGCTGCAGGCGCACAGGTTCCGCCCGATTGGGCCGATGTGCCTTGATCATGAAGCGACAGCGGGCTCCCTGCGCAGGAGCGGTGAACCTGAAGCAAGCACCGCAGCTCATGTCAAGCTCGTGCAGAAGCGATATGCTGGTGGCTCATCCGGCCTACCTGAACATTCCTTTACAGCAGCCTGCTGCAAACATGATGCCAGGCTCATGCGCGGCCCTGCCGGATGTCAAGCTTTGCTCAGCCAAGCGCTCAATCTCCACGACGTCCCGAGTCAGGACAGGCGTCCTTGTCTTCATCTCACGACAAATTTGCGCTTATGCAAATCTGTTCCCTGCCCAGGTGCCATGGGGTGGCGGAGGCGCCAGCCTGCCCTCGCAGCGCAGTACGGCTCTCCTCCAAGGCGCAGGTAAGAACTAGCTGCTGTGAGGGATCAGAAAGGAACACCGATTGGCATCGTATTGGAACAAAAATACCATAAGGGGATCATTTCAGAACACAAGATATTCATCTTTTATTATCACCCAATTAGTCCAAGGGTCATTCCCACTAAGTCCTAGTTACCGTCCATTAGTCCAAGCTACGCCCCATTAATCCAAGGGTGTGAGGAATTCTGATTCAAGTTTATCATCGTCCCAATAGTCCAAGCTTCCCCCACTGGTCGAAGGACCGTTCGCACTGGTCCGAGCTTATTGGCGCAGGCAACGCCCCATTTGTCCAAGGGTGTGAGGAATTCTGACTTAATTTTATCATAGCCCCAATAGCCCAAACTTCCCCCCATTAGTCCAAGGACCGTTCGCATTGGTCCAAGATACGGCCCAGTAGTCCAAGCTACGCCCCATTAATCCCAGGGTGTGAGAAGTTGTGATCTAATTGTATCATCGTCCCACCAGTCCAAGCTTCCCCCATGACGTAGTCCGAGGATCGTTCCAAAGTGCAGGCGCCAGATGTCTACGTCGCATTATTTCTGTCCTACCATCCCTTTGGGCCCTACACTCCAAAAATATTACCTACATTTGGGATGGAAGCCCTGGAAACCATGGAAACCATGGAACCCATGGAAACCACAGGAACCCTGGGAACCAGGAAAACCATAGAACCATCAAAACCATGGAAACCATGGAAACCAAACCACAGAGACCATGGAAACCCTAGAAACCATGGAAACCATGGAAGCCATAGAAACCTTGGAATTCGTGGAAACCCTGGAAAAAGTGTGGACAGCCACTGATCCGCGTTCCAGCTTGATCCCCTTGCCCGCTTTCCAAAATGACACCAATTCGCCCATTCCCGATATTCTGTATGTCTAAACTAATAACTTGGGAAGCCTGGTGCTACTACCGCCAGGCATCGACGTCCACAGTGGCTGGAATATGTGCCATTCTTATGAAGCGAAAGGTTAGCCATCAAGTCACCACGTTTGGTCGCATTAAAAGCTTTGAAAAGTCTCTCCATCAGTAGGCAGTCCCACCCGTAACTTGGACACCCACGGCTACGCCGCAATCAAGATTGGTCACAAGCTTTCCTGCGATACCCCAAAAGCTATCTGCGTGGGCCACACAGATGCTACCCCCAAAAGCGGGTCCGGCACCTGATGAGGCGCCGAGCGCAGGCCCACGAAGGACAGGGAAGCGCCCAGGAAGGCCATCAGCAAGCCCTCGGCTGACAATGAGGAAACACGCACATGTTTTAGAAGTGCCTGTGCGAGGTAAGGGCAAACTTCCCTGCATAAGTTCTCATCATGGCAGGACCAGCACACATTACATGATCGTTGGGATGCCATTTGATTCCAGAATGTTTGGGTAGAAGAAATCCAGGCAGTCAAAGACACCACGAATATGAGCATGCCAATGCTGTCGGCCAGCATCTAACAAAGCATAGCATAGGGATGAAAAGTGCTTCTGAGGTGCGGCGGACAGCAAGCTTGTTCTCGCCATGGCGACAAAGGCTTTGAGTCTCCAGAGATGCCAGGGTCTGAGCCTCCTGATAAGCTGCCACATATTGAAAGGCATCGAGAACAGATGCCAACTCTCTCTCTCTCCACGTCAAAAATTAGAAATCCACTCCGGAAATCTGAGACGTCAAGGGCAGCCAATAACATCCTGGAAAGGCAAAGGGTCATGAGAGCCCAAAAAATTCGGTGTCATATACTTTGCCTTTCCACTTTCTTGCGTTGCACCAGGTGCCAACGTAAGCAGAAATCGCGAGTTCTGCGCTCTTGCACAGTCTTTTTTTCCATGGGCTTGTAGCGCCGCCAAGATTTGATGTCTAGGAAAAAGTTACTAAAAATGGAAGCGAGAGGGCTTGAAAAGGATCCCATCTTGGCTGAAATGACATGCTTCAAGGATAACATCTGAGGGTATGAGAATGAAAGAGGCAGGGCCTGGAGGTTGCAGATGGGATTTCTTTTCTCGACTCCCGGGGGGTGTAGACATGTGCTTCCCAATCTTTCTTTTCATCGAGTCTAGTCCTTCTAGCCTGGTTTCATGAAGCCTGGCGCGGTGCAAGCCTCTTGATAACCTGGAAAGTGTACTCTGCTTTTTGCTTTCAATGTGCAGTAGGTTTTCTTCAGTATCGAGCATAAGCAAGATGATGGGTGGACATGCAGGTGCTTACACGAGGGTCTGGGGTGCATGAGGCGAAGCCTTGCGCTTGACTAAGGCTCCTTGAGCTTCTACACACGTAGCTGTTGTCTAAATGTAGGGTGCCTATTGGAATACCAAGATCCGTATTGTCACAGCACCTTACAGGAACTCATAACTCGTTGAAATCCTCTTAAATCGAAACAAGAGGCACTTAGAGGCGCAGCTGGCCTGGAAAGCAAGTCTACATGATGATGTTCCCTGTGAGTCAGTTGGGAAAGCTCATGGCCTAAGGCTCACCGAGGCTCGTAGTGGAAGCTCAGCAAACCTCGCATCATGGCAACAACTGGCAAGTCTTTGATGCTTGAAAATCCTGGTCCTAATTCCTGTGGCTCCCAAAGAATGCGGCGGCAAGCCAAGCGCACCTTCCGCTTCGGAGCCCAGCAAGCTGGTTACCTTGCAGGAAGGATCATAGCAGCATAGCATCCCAGAGCAATGCTCACACAGGTTTGGGGTATAGTGTTGGGTTGGGGATAAGATCTGCTCTGCCCGTGCCTCGAGTGATGAAATGAAGCCGTGTGCCAAAGCATTACGCAAGCCTGGTGAATGCCAACTGTTGGCAAGTTTGAGATGGAGACCATGGACTTCTTTGTGGTCTCGACAACAGAATGGATCATCGTCTTGAGTCTTGGACATGGAGCTACCGTGCCGTGTCAGTGCCAGACGCCAACATATGTTGAACAATCCGTTACACGATGAAGCCATGGCCCACTATACACTGTGCCCCTCTGCACCCACCTAACGCAACCTCCAAACCCAACCTCTTGCAGAGGAACTGAAGACCCTGCAACTACCTAAATGAACTCTGTCCGAACAGAGGACGCCGAGCAACCTACATCATCAAAGCCACTGAAAACCAGCACAACTATCCCCGCTGCCACTCTCCTTGCGCGGTAATCGGTCTAGCAGACGTACGCAGATGCGCTCATGTTCAAGGTTTCTAGGTCGCATTCGACGCGAGATGGTGCCCTCCGCGCATAGTCCAAGACAAGCGGCTGCAAGAAAGGATGTGCCAAGACCTGGCCGCATCGGAGCAGGGCACACTCTGGCTTGAGAAGCTCGATCCTCAACAACACTCCGTCTTTGCTTGACCCCTTCATTTACGATTTTGTGCTGGCGTAAGGAAGAATCCCACCAGGTCTGCAGAGAGCCTTTAACATTTCCCCGCAGTGGAGTCACCAGCCTTAGCGTTGGGCTTACCCCTTGAATTGTTCCAATGCAACGCCCAGATTTGCCTGGTCGATGGTCGGCCGCTCTGCCGGGTTCAGCTTCAGGAGGCTCTTGACCAACTCCTGACGGTCGTTCAGTGGCTTCACAGGCGAAGGACCGTCAGCTCTCACCGCCAATCTGCTCAGGGGCTACACCAATTTGGCAGTGCCACTCATCTGGCTGAGTACACAAAATCTTGATAGGTCGTCGCATCATGGGAAAGCCATGTCTGACAAAAGCCGTGCCCTTAGCCTCATGAACGCCCAACTCGCTGGGGCCACTGAAGCTGTGAATTCAATGACCCAAAAGGGGTCTGCACGGAGTCATATGCGAGGCCATACCCTCAATTAGCCCCCATGCTGACGTGCTAGGTTGGCCAGAACCAATGGCAGTCCTGGGCTTGCGGGGAGCAGCGTGCCAAGGGTGCCTGGTCATACTCAACGTTCACGATCTTCTCCTCATCCTTAGACGCTGTTGCAGCAATTTCGGCGGTCTCTCGGGCTTCCGTGCACTTCTGGTTTGTCAAGGCTAGAATGAAGGTTGAAAACGGGCTTCGCGCACCAACAGAGCTCATTTGCGAAACCAAAAAGAATGAGTCGAGCACCAGCATGAACCCAGGATTCGCGCTATGCCGTCCAGCAACGGTTTCGCGCACCAAGTGCTTCGCACACCAAAGAGCAGATTCGAGCACGAAAAAGGTCCACGGATTCGTGCACCATGGATTCGCGCACCAGGGATTTGGCGCACAGGACCAGCGATTTGCGCAGCCCAAAAGGATTCGCGCACGAAGGTTTTGCACTCTGGTCCGGGAACGAATTCGGGCAAAACAACCCTAAGCCCTAACGACCCTAAACCCGAAACATGCTGAACCCGAAAAAATAAACACCCTAAACCATAAACAAAAACGTTAACGTAAACTCCGACCACCGAAAGCCTAAACTCTGAACACCCCCAAAGCCCCCAACCCCTTCACGCCCCAAACCCTACAAACTAAACACTGCCAAACCCCAAGCCCGAAACCCTATACACGCCTCCAACCCTAAGCACACCCCCAAGCCCTAGACACTATTACCATTGCGCGTGCTCGAATCGTAGTGGTTTGGTAGTTCATTCGATTCCGGCGCCACGCCATTCCGGTTGAATGGGGCTGTTTGGGTGCCTGAATCGGGCAATTTCTGTGCTTGAATTGAAAGTGGCTGCTTTTGGTGATTGAATCGTTGGTGCTTGAATCGGGCGGTGCTGGAATCGTTGGTGCTTGAAAGGTGCTTGAAACGTAGGTGCTTGAATGGTGCTTGAAACGTAGGTGCTTGAATGGTGGTAGGTGCTTGAATCCTAGTGCTTGAAACGGGGTTGATGCCTGAATCACGCTCTTACGTACCATAAAGCCTTTGGAGCCACTTGAATTCGCCTCGGCTTCTGGCCGACAGGTGTCTCGAACAAGCAGACCAAGATCCAGCCTTCACCCTCCCTCCCACCGCAAAATTATGCCGCCCAAAAAAAAACACAATAACCCCCTCTGCAGCGCAAGACAGAAGTGAAGAGTGGGAAAGCTTCTGTTAAGCATGCCACCTGGACGACACAGCAGGAGCGAGGCAGCAACACTGTCAAACGTTGCTTGCCAGAGAACGTGTAAGAAACTGAGCGCAGAATCCTTTGACTCTGCTTGGACTTGCAGAGGGCTCTTTCTATGCACATGTCCGGACTGGAGCATACATTGACTACAGCTGGGACAAACATGCAATTCCAGTGAAAGTCAAAATGTTGACCTTTCTGCTGGTACAGTACAGCCCTACTTACTAACTTCCTACTTCTTGAACCCAACCAATAGATCAAGCTGGGCTCCGTGAAGGGCTTGAGGCCGGTGAGCATGAGATACCTCAGCAATGGTGTCTCCAGCCCCAGCAGAAATCTGCGCGCAGAATGCTGAATGTTTGGGCCGTGGATTTGTCCCAGAATGCCCCAAAATCGAATCGCCGGGACTGCTTATGAAAGCAAACTTGCATTCCTTCGCGCCTTTACGATTCGCCAAGCAGAACAATTAACCATACGCAAGTGCGGCTCCGGGACATGGTGCATCCCAGACTCCAGAGATCCACGGCCTGGCCACAGTGAAGTCTCAAGATGGCTACTAGCCACAGGTGTGACTCTTAACCGCTCTCTGCTAAACACCAGACCGGAGAAGCCCTCCACAGCATCAAGTCTGGACCCTCCAACAAACCCAACATTTCTTTGGCCCTGCCTTTGTGAACTCGCGCTTGGGCAACTCCACAAACCTAGGCACTCAAAGCATGAGATAAACCAGAGTTGCGGGAAGGCGTCACCATGTCTGCTGCACTTGGTTGACATCTGGCCCTTTCCTTTTCAACTTGAGGTTACGTTGCATTCTGTGGCCTTCTGGGCTTGGCATAACTGCTCAAGTTCAGGTGTCAGCGCTTGACAACAAGCCTTATCAACTCAGTTTACTCAGAGATGCGGCCGACCACTCACTATGTCCTAGAAGTGGCTTTCAGGCATTGCGAAGCAGGAGTCTCACGTACAATGAAGCAGGGAGCACGTGCCACGCAGCGTATATCAACCATCTTGAAGGTACCAAGCAATTGCATATGCTGAAACTTCAAAGCCAGAACAGGTTCCGCAATGATCCCGCCCAAACCACCAGTGTCCAAGGCACTCTACTGTGAATGGCGCGGAAAGTCCACCAAGGATCTCTGTAATCGCGGTGACACCACCCTGGAGTGCTTGGAATGGTCAAAGGCTGTTGAGACTGACTTCGCCTAGCATTCAGATTCAGGAGTCTTCACTTGAATGAACTCAAGTCATGTCGTTCCTTCAAGTAAATGCAAACCTCACTTGCTTCAGCCTTCACAACGTTCGCAGCCATGTTCCCCAATAAACTTCACAATTGTGGCGTCGACTTTCACAAATTCAAATCTCAGTTGCTTCTTCCCAAATCACTACTCCAACTTTCTGAACGCGCAGTAGGCTATTTGTGGCATCCCAAGCAAGGCCTTTCTTGAAAAGTCTGAACCGTGGTAAGTAACGTTGGCATAGAGCACAACAAGCCCTTGGGAGCTCTGGCCTGTGTTCCGGCTCCAAGCTCGTTGAAGTCCTTTGTAAGGGAGATCGAGGCAAATTCAGGCTGACCCACCCTGCTGAGCTGGAAATTGAAGAGCTTGGGAATCATCTACCTCGTGGCAACTACACGGTCGGATGAACTGTCATCCCCGAAAGCTCTCCTTCACGAAGGGCATCTCCAGGATCTCAGTTCCGTTGATGTGGGAGATGGCCCAGCCGTCGCCCACCTCTCCAAACAAATTCCCAAACCCAGGAAGTACACCAGGCTAGGACGTCAATCGGCAAGGTAAGTCGTGATTTGATGATTTGACGATGCTGATCACAATCCTCACAGTAATGACCGTTCTACGACAGCAGTGACTGGTGCTAGCCACTACACTTCTGAGCTGAGCAGTGCTTGGACGTTCGACGCTTCAACGCTGCTAGAAAGGCTCCACATGGTTGCAGGATGAATGTTTTAATGTTGGACTCCGTTGGCAAACGGATTAAATGTGTTGAAGCGAGTCTCGCCGCAGAGGCATATGGCTTGTTGAATCCTCCTGGTCAAAAAACCTCCATCCTCGTCACTCTCATCCCTAAATGACGTTCTCGCCGGGGCGCGTTGAAGCCCGCGGCCTGGCCCCCAGGCTCAATGCCGTTGACCATGGCGCCCTTGCCGTCCTAGGGAGGTAGGACATACTCAAAAAATAATAAGAACGACGATATCAAGGAGAAGGACAGGGAGGAGAGAGAACGAGGAGGGAAGGCAAAGGAGCAGGTGGACGAGGCCGAGCATGAGGATGATTCCCGACTGTCTCCTACTGAGAGGGCGGCACTGGCCCTGAACAAAACCACACCCAAACACTGCGTGCGGCTCGAGGTGCAGGCCGCTGTGTGACGATTCCGAAGCCCGGGCTCTGCTGCTGGGGAGGCCTTGGGCAGGGGCCCTTGCAGTATGGAGCACATGCATGGTGCAGAAATTGCGTAGGTAATCCATGGTAATCCTTCCTCCCACAAGCTACATGAGAGCGACGCAGGTCGTACGAGGCCCGTGCAAAGACAAAACGTCATGATGAACGTGCTAAAGGCCAAAAGGAATTGCAAAGAGGGCTACAAAGATTCGCTTTGTCTAGCGGTTCTATCTTCTTTCTTTAGTTTGGGATGGAGGGGAGGGGTGTTGGCGGGATATATCTCTTTACGCGAAGCATATGCGTCGAAATATTCTTGTTGCGGTTGAACGAATGAATTTTCAATTTCGTCGACAAATATTCTCCAAAGATCGTACGAATCGAAAGACTCTCGATGCGGTGTGAAACGAATTGTTGGAATCGCTGACGAATATTCTATTGGGATAGTAGTTCTCGAATCGCTCTCATTATGGCGTCGTGCGAATTTCCGGGATCGCCGGCAAATCTTCTCGCTGACTCCAAAGACTAGAACATGAACCTACAAAGCACATGGAAAGAACATGGAACGTTTTTGCAGCAAAGGAACTGAAAGGTATAGGGGCCATGCTTGGCCAGTGCCACACCCTTCGGTGCGATCCTCAGCTAGCTCCGGCCGCATCTACCATTGCCCCAAAGCATTAGCGCGTCAACAATCCAGTTCGAAAAGAGGCAGGCAGAATGAAAAAAGTTCCAAGCATAGTAATGACCATAATCAATACCAATCCTCATCAACATCATCACACCAACAAGAAGAACATTAGAAACCGCAGCAGCAAGGAATTCTTGCTCTTGCCGCGGTGGACGACACAGGCAAGGCACATCATCTTGGCACCCACGAGCTCCGGTGCCATGATCTCCTCAGAGCGCACGGTTCTGATGACTTCCTCCCCCTGAACATCCCCATCGAAAACCCATGCTTTGAGCGATGAGCCACAAGTGTTCCCGAAATCCCCAAAAACCTGTGCTTGCAGTACCCGGCAACAACTCAAGATAAAACGCCCAGTCACGGTGGTGCCGACACAGCTTCGGGCCACGGTTTGCTCGAGGTTCCTTGACTTGCTAGTGCTTGTTGGGGAGTCGGGGACGGATGTAGGTACTGTTGCAGAGGGTATATCTGTGGATGGTACCTGGGATCAAGATACCTTGAGAGGTCTCGGACTGCTACGGGTTCCCAGGCAGCCTTGCCTGAAGACCATGCAAAACAAGTTGTGATGCTAACAAGAAGCTTGGCCACGCCAAAGTCAATCAGCTTGACCTGGGTGCGAGTGGTTAGGGTCCGGGAAATATGACATCAGCTACCCCGATATAGCCCTACATTTACATGCAACCCCCCCCCTAAAACCTACCTTTTATCAGCAAATCATAACCTGCGCAGTGGGTTTGACTAGTTCTCTACTTTTTTTGCTACGGTATAAATTATACAGAATACAGCATTGCGTGAAACTGGCCTTACTGCACTCTGAAACTTCCATAGCCTGGCTTAAGTATTGTCGAATTAGTTTTCCTGCCTCCTACATCCTAACATAACTTTTTTTGGGAAAACTAGCTATTAGCAAACTATGCGGCAAGAATCTCTAATTGATTTGCTGAGTTCTAGAAACTCCATAGTAAATCTACAGTAGCGACCAATATTTCTTCTAATATCTACACCGTAACGCAACGTTGAAAAGTCCCTCTGAAATCCTGAAACCCAATAGAATGTACCCTACGAACCATGTACTTACCGTATTTCCTTTCTTGAGATCCGATATTCCATAGTATACCATAAGTATTATGCAAATTCGCTTTTAAATCTGCACCCTAACATATCCTCACAATCCTATTTCTGAATATGACAACTTAACAGAAAAATCACAAGAATCTTCCATAGCCCTTCCTACACTTGAAGAAGAAAAAACCCTTTGGTATGGCTTAAATATTATCGAATTAGTTTTCCTAATTATTGCGTCCTAACATAACATAGAACCCCCCCCTGTGAATATTGATAAGTAGCAGAATCTACAGTAAGAATCGCTAAATACATTTGCTGAGCTTCAAAAGCTCCATAGTATATCCAAAGTATTGCCCTTTTTGTTCTTCTGATATCTACGCCTTAACGCAATCTCGAAAAACCACTCTTGAATCCTGAAACCACATAGAATAGACCCTACAAATCATGAACTAACCTTCCGTTGTCTACCTTAAGTACTATGCAACTATGCCTAAGTTGTAAATCCCGAACCTTATTACCATTAAACCATTAAATTATTGAATCGTTAAACCAATAGTTTTCCCCTTCTGGACATCCATTGAACTATTGGACCATTGACCATTAAACCATTAAACCAATGGTTTTCCCCATATGGGAATCCAGTAAACCACTAAACCATCAAACCATTAAATCATTAAACGAATAAACCATTAAACCGATGGTTTTTCCCATATGGAAATCCAGTGATCGATTGAACCATTAAATCATTTCTGGCTTTCCATAAAGAAAAAAAACAATTGCTTAATGGTTTCATGGTTTAGTGGTTTTTGTGGTTCAATGGTTTCATGGCTTCATGGTTTAATGGTTTCTTGGTT